ACCACCTACTTATACCCTCCCCAACCCCCATAGTATCTGAGTACCTCCCCAGCAGTTAAAAATGTCTGTTTTTCTTCCTTCCTGGAATTTCCAGCCTACAGAAAATAGTGTGAGAATTCCATAGTGGATTTTTATATGGGTGGATGTTTTGTGTGTCTGTGTGACAAGCCTGAAAGAGAGCTCAAAGTAGTGAGGTTTGTATTTAGCTCTTAGGCTACGTCTAGACTGCAGTGCTTTTCCGAGATACCACAGGTATCCCTGAAAAGCAATGCCATGTCCAAGAAATGCATCCGCTTTTCCAAAAAATATTCAGAAAAGAGGATGCATTCTTTCGCCATCCCTGTAAACCTTGCTTTATGAGGAAGAAGGGATGTGTTGAAAGAGCAGGTTTTTTTTGAAATTTGGCATCGTGTAGATGTACCAAGTTTCAGAAAAGCCTCTTTTGAAAGAGAAGTGGAAAAAGATATGCTAATTGTGGTTTGCAATTTGTGTATCTTTTTGCGACTTTTCTTTGTATTCTAGACATAGCCTTACAGTAGTGAGGTGGAGTTCCATAGTCTGCGTCAAACTCCTATGAAACTTCTGGTTCCAAAACCCACTAGTTTCTTCCTGTTGGTCAACAGTTTATTTGCTGCAGTGGAACTTGAGAATTCCTGGACAGATTCCTCAGGTAGTTTAAGCCAGTTCAGACAGAACCTCGTATCCTATTCATTAGAGTTGATAATATAATCAGTGAATCAGGAGTTTAACTGATACAGGGGATTTCCTTTTGTATGTTAACTCTGATAGTAATGCATACTTAGGGACAAACTCCTTGATGGGTGGTAGCTCAGTTTTCTCCCACTTTGACAGGCACTTAATGAAGGGGTAACATAATGAGTTGGAAGTGGTGAAGCAGGGACCTATGAGGAGTGGAAATGTTGTAGATGCCATGTTAAAACTCTGAAAGAAGCAATCACCAAGCTGACAGTGTAGAGAGATTCTAGCAGTGAGCCACAGCAGCAGCCCATTGTACTAGCAATGGGATGGATGAGTGGGAGAGGGACAGGAAAGTAGCAGAAATTCAGGGCACAGACAAGGGAAAGATGTTTTTTTTTAAAAAAAAGAGAGAGAGTTCTGTCAATTATTAGCCTCATTCCTGTGGTATATGTGTCATTAAAAATCTCTTGATGCAATTATAGCCTAATAATTCAGTTATCTAATTCTAGATTGGTTTCAGGAAGTAATCTAATGTAACGCACCACAAGCAAATTTTGGTAGCAACTTTTTTGTGTGTTTGATAATTTAGTACTTGACATCTATGTAGCAAAATGAACCGGTTCCAATGTAATCTCTCTCTAGAAAACTGTTCTCTCAAAATGTATACCAGGCTCATTCTCTTCAACTGATAGCTCTGTGAAACAATGTCAATAATTGCTATTTTCAACATCTGCCAATTGCTTTAAAATTATGTAAAGTATTGCCTTGCTGTACTATATGTGAACAAAAGATCTGATCTTGTACTCAGGCTAATGCTCCACTGAAGTCAAGGATTTGTTTACCATCCAATAAATCAAGAGACAGGTGAAATGTCCAAGGGTACAACATGCAGCTATGTATCTAAAATGCCCAGGATATGTTTGATATAAATATACCCCAAGAACTTTTTGTGTTGCTAATTTTTTGATATCTGATGCCACTATAGTTAAGGCTCATCCATAGTTTGTATTAATAAAACTTAAATATATATGGATTTGAATGTATACCTTCACTATAGGTTGAAATAAAGTATTTTGAGCATGAACTGATTTAAGAAGGTTGTGTTTACTCTGACATCCCAAATTACCAAAGCTTTACAACTTTGGAAATTTGTCAGCCTACAACATGGTAGGATGTCTACTGATGTTTTAGGGTGAAAAAAAAGTTAAATTGGTTAACTAAGGGCCATATTTTTAAAAGTATTCATGAACCAAAAGATGCAGATAGATGCCTAATGGGATTTTTAAAAATGCCTATGCACCTCTGATCAAAACTGATAGGAGTAAACATTCTGGGCACTTCTGAAAATCCCACTAAGTGCATCTTTAGGTGCCTAAATATCTTTGAAAAATTGGCCTAATGTGACCAAAACATGTTACCTAACTTTAAGAACTCCCCTCGGCCTTAATTGTGAATGATGCAGAGAACATGCAATTCCCGTGGACTTCACTTAAAGCACTGAATGTTCAACACCTCTTAAGAATGAGCCCAAAATAAATATTTTAAGAAAAGTTTTGGCTTTAATAGGAATCAATTCAATATAGAAATCTTCCAGTAAGGCATCTGTTAAAAGTCAAGAACGTCAAAATGAGATAACATTTGTCCCTAATGGACTATGCTGCCTGGGAGGAATTTCAAAGATAGCAGCAACCAGTAAACTTGTATAGGAAAAATAATGTGACTGAAATTAACTAAAATCAAACATTAACTTATTCTGGATTTAAAGTTAAACCTAAATACTCTTCAGTAACTTGCAGAAAGCCTATTTTTCATGCAGTGCTAACACCATACTGTACCAATGAATATGAGGCTTATACCTGGAAGAAGTATGATTGTAAAGGCTGATCCTTGTTCTCCTCATCCACATACAATCCTCCGACGACATAGACCTGATTTTGTTTGGTGACTATGCTAGAATGATTTCTGGGAATCTGTTCTGCCAGTGCTGCCAAGTAACATTCATTCTCTACAGGGTCATAAGCTACTGCAGCAGTGTCATTGACCAGAAGAATAAGGTCTTTGACAAACATACCATGTCTTGGAATGTCATTGAGGTATCCAGGGAGTAAATCTTCATCCCCTACATCACCATTTACTTCCCCTTCACCTGACTTTCCTTTGCTTACTGCAGGTTCGGGTAATTTTCCAGCAAAGGCATCCTTAATCACTTTGATCTTTTTCTGAAGATCTGAGCAGCTTTTAATTATATCATCCTTCTCAACATGCTCCTTGAAGTATTTTTCTGACATAAGACGAAAACGAATGCAGTCAAAAACTTCTCCCAGGCTCTTTATTCTATTCTCTTTGTCTGTTCGGATCCATTTCATTACTGCTTCAAATACCACTTCTTCCTTTTCTACATTTAAGCTGTCAGGTAAAATAACTGAGATGAGCTCATGGGGGGCAAGCTGCATGAAGTCCTCTTCTTTGCAAATCTGCACAAAGTGGTCTGACACAAAGTCACGGGCAGACAATGCAAGTCTTGGACAGTCAAGAAGGAGACCTAATCGAAGAATAGCTAGACAATTACCAACAGCAAGTCTTTTCTGAAGATAGGAGACACACACAGTGAATACAGAAGGGATCTGAAAGCGGCTGGCCAAAGCAAAAATATCTTGCACATTAGAATCATTGAGATCAATACTTGCAGAGTAAAGGTACTTGACAATCATATCCAGAATGCTGGGGTCCACATTGTCTAGAACTACCTCCTTTTTTTTGTCTTCACTTTGCTCAGATAAAAAATACTCACGGAAATAAGGACTACAAGCTGATAAAATCAATCTGTGGCAAGGTAAGCTTTTGTCACCAGCTTTTAGATAGCAATCAACAAACTTTTTCTCATCCAGGAGTTCCTTGAGGCCATCCTGAAGAAGCGTGGATTGGTAAAGTCGAAGCTCTTCAGTGAGTTCCCTTTGGGAATCCATTTTGTGAATAATATGGGCGTGTAAGGTGGAACTGAAAGGTTTAGCTGTTGTCGGCACTAAGGTCTATCTGTAAAAAGGCAGATCAGTGTGCTTTGCCCAGCCTGAAGTCTCTGTAATTTAATCCTGCCAACTAAATATAGGTACAGCCTCTAACAAGTTGGAATTTAGGGTGGAAGGTGTGGAAAGAAGAGTTGCTCTTGCAGCTGTCATAGATTGAAAGAAGCAACTGTTGCTTTTAGTCAAGGCAATCACACACATTTAATCACTGAAACTTGCAGAGTAAGGTATTACTCAATGTGAGTAAGGATGGCAGAATCTGGTCTTTAGTTATGAATCAGATCTCAAATATAAATACAGAATGCTCTAAAATAGAAGTATTATCTGAAAGCTAACAGCTTTTATGTCTATTCACATTATGTCTATTCACAGTTGACTCACAGAAAATGTTTTTAAAGAAACTACTTCAGACTTTGCCCGGTATGAATGTCGGATACTTCATTATGAGTAAAATTCATTGTGATTAATTAGAGACAAATATTTTGTGCTAGTATGTTTTTTCAGATCCATATATTATCAAAAAAGGTAACTTCAGCTATTTCTTTTTGGATTTTTACTTAAAACAATGCATGGTAATTTGTTTGCAAACTAAAATATGAAAAAAATCTCCAAACAAAATTCCACTTAATTATTTTAAAATATCATTTACAAATGAAGCTTCAATTTTTTTAATTCTTAAAATGTTATTCTCACTCCCGATTATTTTCCTAAACATACTATCATTTACTTCCTCTACTCCTAAAGTATTTGTGTTAAGTTTTCATTTTACGATAATATTAAACATAGCATTAGTACAGAGTATCCTCTATCAATTTTAAAATGAAGGCAACAGGTACATTAGAGACAGAATAGAACATTTTTTTAAATGAATGCCATTACAAGAAAATTCTTTCATCAGTGAGAATTCTCACAAAACTACAAATTGAGAAAAAGCAGCTTTGTACAATCTGTTAATAGTTTCACAAAGTAAGGAGAGCAAGTTTGGAAAAGATAGGTGAATTAGGTACTCAAATTATTTTTGTTAAATGTTTTAGAATTTAGGCAAGCGAGGCTTATATTTCTAATAAATTAGGAAATGTAGAAGTTTAACAACCCAGAACTGGCTTAATATGCTTTAGTGACAAAGGGTTTCATCTTGCTCCCAGAAAAGTCAATAGCAAAATGCCCACGGACTTCAATGGGAGCAGAATTGGGCACCAACTTTTATAAATACATTTGTTATAAACAGGATTTCATTTCATTAAAGTTTTAAATATTTATGTAATTTTATATATATATAAATAAATAAAGCAGGCTTTTCTTCCCTTCTATGTCACAGTGAAGTCACTGGTACAGTCAGCTGCTAAAACAACAGCTGAAAGGGGAGCTCATTTGACTTTTTCCATTTATAGGAAATAGTGTGTAAGGTCTCATCTCACTAGAAAACAGAACAGCTGCATCTCTCCTTTGAACAATAAATGACTCATTTCTCTCTGCATATAACACATAACATTCTAAAGGTATGATGGGTCGAAGAAAAGATATGTAGGGTGGGATTCTTTCCTGATTATCCCCTTTAAAAACACTCAAGTCAGTGCTTTCTGACAAAATTATACTAAAGTCTTTGGATGAGAGCTAATACCTAGAATGACGATTGATATAGTACATGATATTCTTTCTAAAAATATTTTCACATTAATATATTTTTGTTTATTCACAGAATATGTCACAAAAGATGCTATGGAAATGCTATTTAGATACAATTATAGATCAGTACTTTATTTATAAAAGTAAATAAATAATATAAAACTGTAGCACAAGAACTATATAAAAACAGTACACAAAATACATACAATTGCTACAAATGTACAATTTAACAAGTCTTCTTTCACAAAATAAGTTAACTATGCGTTGTACTATATTTATATGTTCCTTCTCTCTGGCATAGTAGTTCTCTCTGGCATAATAGTTCTATCTTATTCAAATATTTTCAATCTTCCTAAAGATCTGGTAATAACATGATAACTATGTGCCTTTCTTGGATTAGAAAAATAATGTTAAATCTAAATCAACCCATTACTTCCCAGAGTCCCTGAAGCGTGAATCCATCCTTCAGTTTCTCTATTGCTAGTCCCAGTTCTTCTGAAAATACAGGTTCCCGATCTTGTTGCTTTTTTGGAGGTGAAGGGCAAAAGAGGGACAAGCAAATAAAAGACAAATTGAATTAAAATCTGTGAATAGTGAATTATTAAATAATATACATTTTACTATGTTAAGCTGATCTTACCTTATTACCATCAGCAAAGTAAGCCTACAAAAAGAAAAAAAAAACCTATCATAAATGCACCCAAATGATTTAAATTGTTTTCTTATGCAATTTTAAAGAATACTTTCCCCATTTACCATTAATACTTTTTATATCTATACAGAGGTACTTTAGGCTTCTCGCTTCCATTAAAAAATTCCCTTTAAAAATGAATTTTGGTGTTAAAATCCTTTTTATTTAAAATTGTATTTGGCATGTTTTCTGAGATTTATAAGTATGCTTGGTAGCTTCTTTTATTTTTATTTTATAAATAAAATTCACTCTGGGTTGAAATTTACTATGCAAAGTTTCAATCAAAAAGCAGTTTCTTAATACAGTATGAAGTAGTCAAACTACATTAACTGCTAAAATGTCCATTATTCATAATAAAGCTATTTTTGTTTAGTTAACATTTGTTTTCAGATTAATTTTAGTCTGATGCCACGCTCACAGTTCCTGCCTCACATGCAGCAACAGCTACTATTTAATTTCTAAAAATGGGCCATTCATAATATATTAAGGCATGTGCACAAAAATTTAAAACAACATCAAAATGATTAGTCAACAACACTAATGGACTAAACTGACACTTAGGCAAAGTTATTCCTGTTTCAGGCACAGACCTGTACAAAGAGGTGGGCTTTAAGGCACCCTTGAAAAAAAAGACATTCTGAGACAAGCAAGAGAAATTCCAGAGTCAAGGGCTCTTCTCTGAGAGGTCCATGCCTGCAGCTCCAAGATCTCTAAATCCAGGGACTTAGCAGCAGCAACAACAACAACAACAAAAAAGTGTCTCAAGTGACCTCAGCTGTCTTGGTATTCTCTCAAATAGGCATGAAATCACACAGGACTGTACAGAATACTAACCCCTTCAATTACAATAGAAGACTATTAAGAAGCCAGCATTTGGAGTTCAGATGAAATGTGTTCCCTGTGGTAACTACTGCTAAGCAAGTAGATCAATATATTCTCAATCACCTATAGCTTCCAAATATTATCCTAGAGTGGTTATATGCAGAGCACATTAGATCTATCTAAAAAGTGGATGTGACAGACAAAATCCAAATATAAGAGAAAAGGAAAACTGATGAAAGCTCATAGAAATAACAAAAATCCTGGGCACTAAAGAAAAAAAACACAGAAGAAAAGGAAAAAAGGAAAGGAACTTACAGCCTAAGAGGAGGGGAAAAAAAGATGAAGGTTAGCAGGATAGATAAGGTATAGGAAAGAAGAAAAGGGCAAACTAGTAGGGTGGAATTTAGCATTATTGCTCCTATCAAATTTCGAAGATGAGCTATAACAATATGTATAACCCTATACAAATACTTGTGCACTCTACTGTTTATACTAAAAAGTAGAAGCGATGAGGAGTCCTGTGGCACCTTATAGACTAACCGAAGTGTAGCCTGCTGCTACGGGAGCCTCCTGCTACGGGACAAGCCCAAGAAAGAAACCAACAGAACACCACTGGCCATCACCTACAGTCCCCAGCTAAAACCTCTCCAACGCATCATTAGTGATCTTCAGCCCATCCTGGACAATGACCCCTCGCTCTCACAGGCCTTGGGAGGTAGGCCGGTCCTTGCCCACAGACAACCCGCCAACCTGAAGCATATTCTCACCAGCAACTACACACCGCACCATAATAACTCGAACTCAGGAACCAATCCTTGCAACAAACCTCGGTGCCAACTCTGCCCACATATATACACCAGCAACACCATCACAGGACCTAACCAGATCAGCCATACTGTCACTGGTACATTCTCCTGCACATCCACCAACGTAATATATGCCATCATGTGCCAACAATGCCCCACTGCTATATACATCGGCCAAACAGGACAGTCCCTACGTAAAAGAATCAATGGACACAAATCTGATATTAGGAATGGCAACATACAAAAACCTGTAGGGGAACACTTCAATCTTCCTGGACACACAATTGCAGATCTAAAAGTAGCTATCCTGCAGCAAAAAAACTTCAGGACCAGACTTCAAAGAGAAACTGCTGAGCTACAGTTCATCTTTAAGTTTGACACAATCAACTCTGGATTAAACAAAGACTGTGAATGGCTTGCTAACTACAAAAGCAGCTTCTATTCTCTTGGAATTCACACCTCCAGATCAGCTGCTAGAAGTGGGCCTCATCCTCCTTGATTGGATCCACCTGGTCATCTCCAGCCTGATCCTGGCCTGCATATTTATTCCTGCCTCTGGAAATTTCCACTACATGCATCTGACGAAGTGGGTCTTTGCCCACGAAAGCTTATGCTCCTACACTTCGGTTAGTCTATAAGGTGCCACAGGACTCCTCATCGCTTCTGCAGATTCAGACTAACACGGCTACCCCTCTGATACTAAAAAGTAGTTTCTAGATATGGGAAAAGGACAACACTGAAAATTATTTCAGAAAAGATTCCACTTTATTAATATATCCTCTTGTATTTTTATTAATGGAAGTTGTGGGTGCTAATCACTTCTTCAAATTAGATTCAGAGGCAATATTTAATATCACTTTTTCCTAAAATCTTGTGGGGGCAAATATTTAGGCAATCTTCTAGGTATGACAACACTATCATGTCAATCTGCCCAGAAAGAATGCAGTATTAATCTGTAAAACCTGATTAAGGTACAGTAGGGTCTAAAAGCCTGTAAAGCATGTTGCAAGTTGCCTGTGACTGCTACTTTAAATGCCAACTATCTTGAGTGTCAATAACTATTTGAAATACATTTTTTTCTAAATAGTGTTGAAAAAAATTACAAGTCTCAGAGGGATAGCCATTGTAGTCTGTAACTTTAAAAATGAATAGTTCTGTAGCACCTGAACAACTAATAAATATATGTAGTATCATGAGTTTTCATGGGCAAAATTCCAACTTATCTCAAGAAGTCATTTTCCCCATGAAAGCTCATGATACTACATATATTTTTGTTTGTCTCTAAGGTGCCACAGGGCTACTCGTTATTTACAGTTAGAAACTACAATATACTTTTGCACTTTATGCCCAAAACCAATCTAAATAAGTTATATAACATCAAAAGACTCAACATATCTTTTAGCAGAAATCTAAGTCTAAAGATTGATATTTAAATAATCAAACAGTAATTGTTTTTCTGGAAAAGTTTACCACAAAAGCATCTGTCTGTTCATCAGATTCTATTTCCACATCATCATGAACCTGTTCCACTGTCAAATCTTCAAGAGGCTGAGGCTGTAAATAGAGGTAACAAAATTAAAAAATACAAGTATATATGTTTTTAGTGTATTTTTTGTATTTCTTATGTTAGTGCAATGCTGCATGTAGCATCTGCAATAAAAGGAACAGAATACCTTTTCTTCCATTTCATAATCCACTCCAAATATAGGACTAGCTGAATAAACTCTATGTAGTGAATTTATTTCTTTCACTGCCTCCTGTAGTTTCTCCACAGGGTCTATTTTAAAACCAAGTACATATCCTCCACTCTACAAGAAGGGAAAAATACATATTTAAATGAAGTAATTTTTACTATATAAAATATATTTGTTGTTAGATAGGAACCCACCAAATTCACAACAATGACAAACACGTAACAGACCATGAAATCTGGTTTTATGTGTGCTATACCTTACACCACACAGATTTCACGAGGAAAACCAGAGTTTCTCAAACTGGGGGCCTGAGCAAAAGGGAGTTGCAACTGCATTGCACTACTGTCACCTTAACTTCCACACTGCCTCCAGAGCTGGGCAGCCAGACAGCAGTTCTACTGGGCAGGTATCCAGCTCTGAAGGCAATACCCTGCCAGCAGCAGTGCAGAAGTAAGAGTGGCAATACTATACCATACCATTCTTAGCTCTGAAAGCAGACCTGCCACTAGCAGCAGCACAGAGCTGGACCACTGCCAGCAGCCATCGTTTTCTAGCTGCCCAGCTGTGAAGGCAGCACTGCCACCAGCAGCACTGAAAAATTAAGGGTAATAGTTCTGTGACCCCTCCGCCCCAACCTCATTTTTGGGTTTAGGATCCCTACAATTACAACACTGTGAAGTGTCAGATTTAAATTGATGAAATTACAAAATTTACTATTTTAAAATCCTGAGAGAGAATTTGACCAAAATGGACAGAAAATTTGTAGACCACATACTTCCTTCTGAAAGTCAATTCTTAATATTAGGGCTGTCAAACGATTAAAAAATTCAATCATGATTGAGTGATTACAAAATTTAATCGCAATTAATCGTGTGTGGCGTTTCAACGGGCCAGCGCTGCATGGAGCCTGGGATCAGCTAGAGTCCCGAGCTGACCCCGGGCTCCATGCAGCACTGCCCCTTTGAAGCGCCAGGGCAGCATTTCCAAGGGGCAGCACAAGACCGGGCCCAGGGTAAGCTGGAGTGCCAAGCAGATCCCCAGCTCTGCATTGCGCTGCCCCTTGGAAACACTGCCCCAGCGGAGCCCAGAATCAGCTGGGCATTACAGCTGATCCCCAGTATGGAAGTTAAAGACTAGTTGACTAGTCAACTATCCGATAAGCAAATGCTTATCAGATAGTCAACTAGTGAACTAGTTGATCTCCTTCGCTCCCCCATTAATGCCTGTGATTAACATGTTAAAAAATGTAGCGCTTTAATCCTGGACTGTGTTAATCGCAGGCGTTAACGCATGTCAAATGACAGCCCTACTTAATATTAACAATAAGGACCTTATATAACCATTTTATACATTTCAAACTGCTGTACAGACCCTAGATAAAATTCTGGCCCACTGACTTCCAGTGAGCTAGGATTTTACCCCCTGTAAAGTATATAAGCTATGCATTATTATTATGTTTTACAAATGAGAAACAGAATCATGGAGAGGTTAAAAGAAAACACAAAATTAGTGTTAAGTCTAGAATCTGTATTTAGGAGTTTTGAACTGCTCAATAAGTCCTTAGTTCATTAGATCAAAGTGCTAATACTAAGGGCAGCTTTTCAGTGATTATGAATGCATCTGATTTAGCCAAAATAGCTTTTTTATCTGTAGAGACATTTTTGATCATGGTCACTGGTGGTAATTACAAATCTGCCACAGAGAGTAGAAAAGAACAAGGCATTACTTAAATGTATAACAAGGCATTACTTAGATAAACAACAAATTAACTGGTCATGCTGGCCAGTAGGTGTTTGAGACCTCATGAATGAGCTCGCTCACTCATAATCTTTGTTCCGTAAATTCACAACTCAACAGCCATATTTTCACCACAATTTTGGCCTCGTATACAGTCAAGTTTACTTGAATTTAAATTCTAAAGAGCATTCAGGAGTTCAGTCTATTCATTGCTTTAAAATAGCACACTGATTATCAGAATTACGTGGCTTTATAGATAAATATGAAAATAATTAAATAATACTATTAAATCTTACCTGCTGAGAACTTTCTATGACAAGTGCCAAGCCAAATTTTGAGTCTCTAATCTTTATTGAACGCTGGTTATAAAATGAAGAGAGGCAAATACGTTTTTTAAAAATAATGTTATTTAATTACTTGATACAAACATCTGTTAATACTATTTACTGCAATTATCAGTTTTGAATGCATGGTATCTTCAGCCACTTGCAATTTCAAATCTGAACCACTGGCATCTGGAGGAGGAAATTCCATCAGAAATGATGGCAAGATCTGGGCAATGTTCCTTTCTGAAAACTCCGATCACAAGATGAATTCCAGAGGTCATATACATTGGTGTACACTACTGGCATTGGAGCACTGCTGGGATTGTAAGCACCATGGAAATCAGAAATGCAGATCAGATCACAGGATCTGTCTCTTTATCCTGAACAACTTGATTTTTCATGAAATTGTGATAGTAAATGTGCTCTACAAAAAATATAGCCTTCTCTCAGATAAGAGCATGCAACTCCCATTAAGTTCAATGTGAGCTAGCTCTGTGAACTGAAGGTTGGAATTTGACCCATATCATACAATATTTAGGTTTTAAAAGGATTGCTGAGGTTGAGATACTTACAATTTGCAGATATGGTATGCTGACATTAAAGCTGTCATTCATATTTGCATGCCAAACTATTCTCACATTAGTAATGAAAAAGGTTCCCAGATTTCCCTATAAAAAAGAGAGATCAGAATTCCTTTGAAATGTAGGGTTTGCTCTTATTTGCAGACCTTACTCACATCCAGTGTTTCCTCTAAGCTGTGCTGCCGCACAGCTTCACAAAGGATTGGGCAAGGCTGGTAATCACCTGTAAAACTGTACTGCAGCGCAGCTTAGAGGGAACACTGCTCATGTTCTCCACTGAAATAGGACTCCACACTGAGTTCAATCAGGATTTGATGCTGTCTAACTGAAATCAGTGGAAATGTTTTCACTAACTTCAATGGAAGCAGAAGGTCTTAAAATAGCGATTGCTATTAATGGAGCAAAGCAGGATCACACTACAGTGCAGTGAACCTTACAAAAGTACACAAAACTTTCAAGAGTTGTCCACTATATAGTTCTAGAACTGGTGTACTGTTCAAGTACAATGGCATGTGAGTTAAATTTAGGTGACTATGAAGATGTGTGCCAAAATCAAAACTAGAGTGTAAAGAACTCTTTTACTCATCATGACTGATCTTATGCCCATTTTTAACTAAAATTACACAAATAACAGCTTCCATTTTGTTCCATGTGCTAAACAAGTACAAAGTAGTAGTGTCCTGGAGCATAACGGACATATTATATGTGCCACTTGCAATTAATGGTCATCCCCCTCCTCAAGAAATAATTTTCTATTCCAATGTTTTCAGTTGTTAGCAACTAAAAGACAGAAAAACATGTATAGGCAGTCCCCGGGTTACGTACAAGATAGGGACTGTAGGTTTGTTCTTAAGTTGAATTTGTATGTAAGTCGGACCTGGTACATATTGTAGGGGAAACTCTAGCCAAACATTTCTCCAGAGCTCAGTTTTATTCTCCCACATCTCACTTCCCTCAGTCCTTTATTCTCAAGCTGAGGTGTCTGCTGAGAAAAGCCGCTCTGCGTCTCCCTGGTCTGCGGGGGGGGGGGGGGAGGCGCTAGCTTCGCGTCTCCCTGGTCTGCTGGAGGGAAGCAGCTAGTGCAGGGTTGCCTCACCGCGTTTGTAAGTAGGGATCCGATGTAAGTCGGATCCATGTAACCCGGGGACTGCCTGTACTCAAAAACTGCAAATAGGCTATAAAAATATGCAACAAAGTGTTTTAGAAATAGCAGGGTATACTTTTAGGATGATACACATAGAATTAGTCTCTCAAATACTTCTTGTTAATAGGAGTTGCGTATCTAATTTCTCGTGTATAGAACCGAAACACTCTCACAAATGCTATGACATGTTGCTAAGAGGAGTAGTCTGTTATACTGAATAGCATACACACAAAATAGAAATGTAGCCGTGTTAGTCTGGGGTAGCTGAAGCAAAGTGCAGGACAATGTAGCACTTTAAAGACTAACAAGATGGTTTATTAGATGATGAGCTTTCGTGGGCCAGACCCACTTCCTCAGATCAAATAGTGGAAGAAAGTAGTCACAACCATATATACCAAAGGATACAATTAAAAAAATGAACAAATATGAAAAGGACAAATCACATTGCAGAACAGGAGGGGGATGCAGGGGGGGGGGAAGGAAGGAAGGTAAGTGTCTGTGAATTGATGATATTAGAGGTAGGGAGAGTGGGATGTTTGTGAGTTAATGGTATTAGAGGTGATAATTGGGGAAACTATCTTGGTAATGGGTGAGATAGTTCAAGTGTTTGTTGAGTCCTTTTTGGAAAGTGTCAAATTTTAACATGAATGACAGTTCAGAGGATTCCCTTTCAAGTGCAGATGTAAAAGGTCTTTGTAGCAGAATGCAGGTGGTTAAGTCATTGAGAGAGTGTCCTTTCTGGTTAAAATGGCAAGAAACTGTTTTTTCTTTGTGATCTTGTCTGATATCTATTTTGTGGGCATTAATAAATAGACTGCTTCTCATGTAACCCACTCATGAACTAAACCGAAAGAGAATTCCTGTGAGGTTATAGAACTAAAATAGTACAGTTGCTAGGAAGATGAAAAACAAAGCCCGGTTTTAGTAAAATTGTATATACTCTCGTTTTAAATATACCTGGTCACTAGATAAATTCCAGACTCCATTGATTTTGTCATATACTTGTTCTTGTGGTAGTAATCTCAGTTGCTTATTTTGAATCAATGCACTTCTCAGCTTAAGATCACGGTACATTTTAGAAGTTTCATAAGCTCTTAAAAAAAAAAGCCAAAACTGAAGATTTCAATGTTTTTCATAGTTCATGTTAACACAGATTTGTAAAATATTTCATATTTCCCAGCTCAATTATCTACATTGTACAAATAAATTGAGAACTAAATAGAATAGCTATGAATTTTTTGAGAAACAAAGTATTTTAAAAATTACATTTGAGCTTGAAGTATTTTTTGTTTTTTGCAATGTTCTGATGCATGCTGTCACTTTATTATACCTTACAATGCTCATTCATCCATTAGAGCACAACCAAAGCCTTGCTTTTCACACACTATATATAGTATAGACATTGGGAAACATTTAATATTCAGCTCAGATTAGGCACAAATATGCTGTAAAATACACACAAATCACTATTTCTTTTTAAAATTATTTATCTCATGTAGGTCAGTGTTCATGTCATTAGACCAGAGGCAGGCAAATACCAGCAGCCCAAAGGCCAGATCAAGTCGACCAGGCTTAGCTCCTGGTGGGCCCCCACCTCTATATGGCTGCCAGTCTCAGCTATTGCAGCTCCCGTTGGCTGTGGATCACCATTCCCTGGGAGCTATAAGAAGGGGTGTTCTGGTCCGTGCTGCTCCCAGTTGCTCCCATTGGCCGGGAACAGCGATCCACAGCAAACAGGAGTTGTGATCGCCAGTACCTGCAGCCATGAAAGCAAATATAGAAGCAGCAGCCTGCCAGGGGCTAACTCTGATGAACTGCCACTGTGTTATTGCCCACACCTGCATTAGAATATGTTCATGTTCACCTCTATATAGCTTATTCTTTAGGAGTGAAATCATGGCCACATTGAAGTCAATGAGTTTTTCATGATTTCTCCTTTGATTTACACATAATGATTCATTAGTACTATGCTAATATTTCAGTTAAACATACTTTATGTATTAATATTGATTTTTATCTTGAAAGAAGTTGAATATTAGCTCCAGTATTATTTAGAAAACAGAAAACTTTTTTCTCCCTGATATCACACAGGCTACTTTAAACCACAGGAATTGTTTAAAATAATTATTTTAAACGAATTTTGTTTTCAAAAATATTCTAGTGCATTTATGGACGAAGATGAATGTTTTTGATGCAGATCAATTGACAAATTTTATTTAAATCAAAACAAAGTTAAGCCAAAATCACTTTGTGACTCTTCAACAGAATGTAAGAAGGACCCAGTCGAAGAATACAAAAATGTTTAGTTTCACCTAAAACCTGTTCAAACAGAATTTTTTTCAGGTTTACACCAGAGTTACTGTAACTTGTGCTGTACTAGGGCCAGAGGTTGAAGTCTTCAGTCAAGCAACATTCTAATTTGAGTAAAAGTTTTGGCTGAGCCAAGGTGTAGAATATAATCCTTGGTCAATAATATATATGAAATCTGTTTTATGGTATTTATTCAATTGGACTCATAGGCTTTCTGCTTTTTTTTTCTCCCCCCACAATAAACTTTCTTGCTCAGATTTCAAATACTTCTGTGGACTTTACATATGCAAGAGTGACAGGTGCATCAGTGACAGCAATCCCAAATTCTGCATGATACCCGACTTAAAATAATGATTAATTATTTTAAACATTATAGTAAGAATAGTACCTGTGTACAGCAATAACTGAAGTGAAGAGCCTGGGACTACCAGGAACCACATTAGTAAATATGAACTCGAACCGTGTATTGTTACATTTAGTTAATATATAAAGAGCTTCTGTCTGGCCTCGTAGTTTCTATAGGAAAAATGGTTAATATTTAACATTTTGACATTACAGCATCCTGACTATGAGCAAGACACTCAACAATCCAAGCATAATTTATTTTGTTATAGCCTAATTATAACCATTTAAAATGAAATTCTGGCCCCAGGGAAATTTCACTGATTTCCTGGCCTCCTGGTCATTGAAATCCTGGCCCCACTGAAGTCTCCATTTTCCCCAAAATTTTTATAATAATAAACCCACTCCGTATTAAAAATTAAAAGTTTATTTCTAAATATTTAAAATAAAAATGTCAGTACTATTGTATTTATCTGATTAAAGATGAACTTTCAGATGAATTAGTGCAATGAGCATATGTGGAACTTTTACACATTTTTAGTTTAAGAAGTATTTTGAAACTTACTGAGTTAGCAGTTCTTGTAGTTATATTTATAATGCAGTTGTAACCAACAGCTAAAAATAGGGGGGGAGGGGGAGAAAAGCACAATTTTGATAAGAAGAACATTTTCTGTTATACAGAACAATACATTTAGAGCATTGCTTGGGACACTGTTAGAAGCCCACATTCTGATTGTCTGTGTGGATCATTATTTCATACCTGTTACCTGCTAGAATCTCACCCTTAAAAATAAAAAATCCTATCACCTTTATATTAATATAGTTGCAAAGATCCCACAAGATAAGAGTGCAAAAATAATAAAAGCAGTTTTGGTGAGGGACTGGATGACAGAAACAATTTGAACAAAGGAGAATGGGAAGAGAATGAGGGGACAGAAGAAAAAAAAGGTAACATATTTAAAATGTTTGATTTCCCCATCTACATAAGTTTTTGTTATAACAATTAAGACCCCAATCCTTAAATTCTTCATCTGAGCAGACCTACTGAATTAGTTAGGGACTCAGTCTGAAGCCAATTGGTGTTTTGTCACTGACTGCAACAGAAGCAGGCCCAAACCCTACCAAAAATTAATTGGTCTATTCATCTGAGTAACGGTAGCGGAACTGGACCTAAATTGGGACATGCTCAATATCAATTTAGGCTCCAGTTATGTAAATAAATCTAAATAGGATTATCTTCTTGAAAGGATCCCTATGCAGGATTGGGACCTTAATTTTTATAATAGAAAATGAGTTGAAAGTAGCTGCTGAATGAACATGGGACTTCTAGGAAATATGATAAAATAATGAGGATATAAATAATCCAGGAAATCTTAATAAATGGTTATTAAAAGTAAGCATAGTCAAAAGAGTAGGGTCAAGGCATTCATGGTCTTCTTCTCCTAGCAAATATTTACAGAAATTATATAAATATAATTTACATAGACCAGTGCTGCAACAATGAATTATGTAAAGGCCAGCTAGGCAGCTAGTTGTGGGGAGATTCTTCAGTCTTGAAACCTAGGGTATGTATAATGGCAGGTAAAAGGATAAGGATGCTTATATCTTTACACGATGTACAAGGCAATCTTTCCTGGTATTTTTTATTAATACTAATCTCAAAGTCAACATTCAGCACCTGCACTGATATCCATTATGACAATCTAAAATTAGCAACTCACAGGAGTCATATTAATACTTGTGGCACTTGTCAATATATTACCATATATGTACTAGATAATGCATTGATTATAAGATACTCAATTTGTAAATATCTAAAAAGTTGTAGGACAGAATTGCCTCTACTTATAGCAGAAGCGAATTTGTCCTTGAGACGATAAGCAAACTTTGTTTATCTTAAAAAAATATCATCATAAATACATAATGCAATATAGGGGAGATTTGACTTTGTGAGCATGGGGACTTGCACTTTCTTGGCTATTGGAAATTGTGTAACTTGAGCAAAATGTCTGCTAAACAAATATGCCCAGATATACAGTGCTTTTCTGCAAGCTACTTATTAAAATTCTTAACTTTAAGCACCTGAGGAGTTTCTTTCACTACTCATATAATTGAAGTTAGACGTGTTTATGTAGCTTGCTTAATCATGGCCTAGGATAGTAAATTATATGTTTGCGAAGAGAGAAAAACCAAGGATCAAGATTAAAGCAGAATAAAAAGGGGGTAACAGCACATACTTATATGACAAGTGGGGAATTCAAAGTACAGTAAAACAAAATGATTCCTCCAAACTTCCATATTCCACAGACTTAAAAAAAAGTATAAGACACTCTGTTATCTTCAGAATTCTAGTTTGAGAAATTATTATTACACATGGACACTTTATTTAGGAATTATTTTATTAGTTCCTATTACTGCTGAAGGAATAATGAATACCTGGTGAATTATTGTTATGGTAGGTAGCAATGGGAGACTGAAGACTTTGCAGTAGCATGCCATATTAGACTGTAATTGTATTGCTGTACACCTTAGTGTTGTGAAAATTCAGCATAATATCATCTAAGAAAATACAAAACTTTTACTCATCTTAACTAAAGGGGTTACTTACAAAGATTGACTCTAGGTAAAGCCAATGAGTGCCATATAATTCGTAAATTTGTCACTAGAAGTCTACCTGGAAACAAAGAATGAAACATTTTTAATTCAATTTAAAACTGTCCAGATTAAATGTGAGACTTCAAAGTTGCTCCATGAAATGTAACACAAACATAGCTGCCTCCCTCCTTCTTCCTGAAAAACCCTACAAGTCAAATGCCAATATTGATCATTCTTCTAATATAAAAACCTTTAATTTAGATAGAGTTCATTACCACCATAGATCAGAGGGGTAGCCGTGTTAGTCCTCGTCGCTACCACCATAGAATGACACTGAATCATGCTCAGCACCTATGTCAAGATCCCACTGGAGGAATGGGTTTCTCCCAGGTGACTAGGTAGCTACCAGTGCAACAGTGGCTGTGAACCTTAAATGGGTCTCATACATAAAAAGGGAGCTTGAAGCAAACAACTCATATAGAGTTGTCAGCTAGAGAAAGGACTAAAGGCTTGTTACAAGAAAGATCTCTCATAGGCTATGTCTACACTGCCATTTTTTTTGGCAGAAGATATGCAAATCATGCTCTCATTTGCATATATTCTGCTGATTCTTTTTGCGGAAGAGGTTTTGCCACTAAAAAGCCCGGTGTAGACGGGACTATTTGTAGGAAAAAAAGCCCTTTTTCGCAAGATCCTGTAAACCTCATTTTTATGAGTGTGATTTGCATATCTTCTGCCAAAAAAAATGGCAGTGTAGACATAGCCATAGTGGCAACTAGAGAGGAAGAAAACAATTTCCCATATAAAGCAGGGTGATTTTTTTTGACCAACAGTTTATTCACTGAAAAAATGCAGTTTTCGGTCAGCTACAAGTATTTGGAAACGTTTTAGAATATTTAGAATAGTTTCAGTCAAACCAAAACAAAATAACTTTTGCTAATGTTAAAACAAATACTGCTGACACTGTGTATGAAACTGAACTAGATTTACTTGATGGACAGGAAAGATGGTGGCAACAGCAATGCAACTGTCTTCCTTAGAACGTTTACTCCAGTCATTAGGCTTCTCACCTGGGATGTGAAAGAGACCCAGGTATAGTTTCCCTCATCTCTCTGATGGGGGAAAAAGGATATGAACTTGGATCTCCCATATTTCAGAAGACTTCCCAACCATGGTTCAGGGAATTCTGGCAGGTCTCTCTCAATCTCTTCAACAGTTGTGGGAGCAGGGACTTGAATTTGGGTCTTTCCCCCCTCAGATGAGCCACAGCCATTCTCAGTCTCCTTCTAGCCCAGTAACTACTGAAATATTTTATACAGAGCAGAATAGCTTCAACAGGAATGACCGAGACACCTACTTCACAATATCTCACAGCCTACCAAAATATTTCTAATGGTGAAATTCTTTCCTTCTTTCTGAAAATTATGCATTCACGATCCACTCCTGTTCCTATTGAAGTGTGTGGGACTATTTCCTAGGGATGTTAGCAAGTGTCAACTAGTCAACCACCTGATAAGCATAAGCTTATCAGGTAATTGAGTGGAGTATCGACTACTCGTTTCCCCCCACCTTGCTGCCTCTATGAGAGGCAGAGAACAGGAGCCATGCTGAGGGAAGCCATCTTAAGAGATGATTCCCCCCAGCACCATCTCCGTGGTGCTACTTGCCCCCTCTGCTGCACCTGTCAGAGGCAGGGGAGGGGGGCGATGGACAGAAGAGGCTGCTGCAAAGCTGCCCCCCCGTGGACAGGGGCTTCTGTTGCCAAGCAGCCCCTGTTCACGGTGGGTTGGGCTAACCGCGAACAGGGGCTACTGGACTCAGCGTGAGCTGAGACCTAGCAGTCCTGTCTTGCAGTAATCTAGGATGCTGTGCCTCTGCATTTTAAATGTAGTAAGAGCCTGACAGAACTACCCCTGCTGCAGCTCTGCAGAGTGGCCCTTATTGACTAATTGCGTAGTCGATACAATTTGTATTGACTACCCAATTAGCTGGGGGGGAAGGGGCTTGAATCCCCCATCCCCAGTCTCTGGAGGCTGATGCCTTACCCATTAGACCACTGGAGGACCCAGCCCACCAATGTACCTTTAGCGGCTCCCTACCCTCAGGTGGTGCCAGTTCCAGACATGGGCATGCTGGTAGTGGGTGCTCAGGGTGTTGGCAACTTAACATTCATAGTGTTCCCCTTGACTTCAGTGACAACCACTTTAAACCCTCAAAGATTAAACTAATTAGAAATTATGAAGATGAGAATTTCATGAATTACACACTTACCTCTGTCTCCATTGTTTCCTTTGGTATCTTCAATAGAATCTAAACAGTCTATAAGAACCTCTCCTGGTCTCATTTTCATTTGTCTAAAACAAGGTAATTTATTTCATTTGGATATTATTGTTTTATTTATTCATTTCCATTTAACCAGGCTATGAAATACTCTGATCTAGATATAACAAAATAAGTTATAATTAAGATATTATTGGGTTTACCGTTTCGGACCCTGCAAAGTGGTAATCATTTTTACTCCCACGTATTCCTTTTTTAACATGTCCCAAACAAGTGCAATATTCCATGAGCTGCTCTAAGAGCTATATGTGTTTGTCACATCTGAAAGTCAGGTACTAAGAGAGATAATTTCAATGGAGATGATATACAGTTCAAAGCTCACATTGCTTTTTAGATAATCTGAATTTAAATTCCCTGTCTTATTTGCTGTTTAGTCTCACGTGTTTTCTTTTGGCATCTCTACTTTCTAAATATTATGTCAGGATTGTCTAAATGATAAATCTGTTGCTGTTATCTAGAGCAGTTATTTGCAGTGAATGGAAAGGTTTTTTTGCTACTTGTTGCTTTACTGCTCTCCACCTTGCCAGATTATCCCCCTTTCAAGAGTCTGCTGTGTCTTGTGTGTCCCCAAGTTTCAACTCACTTAAAAACTTATAAAATCAGACATAAATATGAAAGTGTCACAGCACACACTATTACTGAAAAATTGCTTACCTTCTCACATTTACCATATAATTATTAAAATAAATTACTTGGAATATAAATATTGTACTTACATTTCCACGTATAGAATAAAGAGTAGCATAAACAAATCATCTATGAAATTTTAGTTTTTACAGGCTGAACCTTTATAACGTGGACTTCTTTTGTCTGGTAATATCTGAGGTCTGGCATCCATGGATGCTCCAGGGCTGGAGGTCTCACAGAGAAAACCTAGGGGTCCCACATCCCCAAAGCTTCCAGAGCACTGAAAATGCAGGTTGAAACTTTCTTAACCAGGATTCTCCGGTCTGGCAACATCCATGGTCCGGCACAGCTGTTGCAGTATCAGAGAGTTCTGGTGGAGGGCCAGTGGCAAGGATCCCTGCGGGGCCACAGAGAGCTGACAACGGGGTTGCCCAGCATGGGGCAGCAGGGCTGCCAAGTGGAGTTGAGAGACCTGGTGCATAGCTGCCTGGCGGGGCTGGGAGCTGCAGCTTCCCCACAGGTCCTGGAGCTGCAGCGCAGCACATGTGGCTGCTCTGCTGGTCCTAGAGCTGCAGCGCAGCACATGTGGCTTCCCTGCAGGTCCTGGAGACACAGCACTATGCATGGCTGCACAGCGGGTCCCGGAGCTCCAGTGCACATAGCAGCAATGGCTGGGGAGCTGGGTCAGCAGGAGGTGGGGAGCCAGCCTGGAAGCCAGTGGGCTGGGCCAGGGGGGCTGATGACAGGGGTCCATAAATGACCTCCCCTGGTCTGGCAAAATCCCTCATCTGAAACTGGTCAGGTCCCATGGATTACAGAACAGGAACGTCCAATCCTCAGCTGATTTCTGGTGCTCAAACTCATGGATAGAGGAGCAGGGGGAGTGGCATGGTCAGGAGAAGTCACTTGGCGCAGTGGTGCTCAGGAGCGCAGCCCTGCAGCCAAAAGCCCATGGCTGGGGCCCAGTGTTCAGTGGCTGGGAGCTGCCCCTGTCTACAGGGGGTCTGAGCTCCCCACAGACAGAGGCTGCTCCACATCCTATGGAGCAGCCTCTGCAGGGAGCCTGGGCCTGCCTCAGACAGAGGCTGCTCCGCGGCAGCAGTCCCTGTCTGCCCGGACGGGGGTGGTAGGCGGGAGCCGGTCTGTGTGGTGAGCTGGTTTTTAAAACGGCTCCCCTCACAAACCAGCTCCTGCTGCCACCCCATGCTGCTGCCGATCAGACCTCTGATAGAGAGGCAGCAGCACTTGGTATCAAGGAGCTCCCTGGGGTGGGACCGGAGTGAACTGGCTGCTGGCCCTGTCCCCAGGGACTACATGGTCACACAGCTATTCAATTATATGTTAAAATGTTATGCAATCACCTAGCTATTCAATTACATGTTATCTAACATCCCTAGTAAGTGACCTTGCACTCAAGGGCTATCATCTGACCAGGTTTTCCCCAGATATGGCCTCTTTGCGTGTGTGCCTTCTTTCCCTGGCTGAAGGCATTTTTAAAATAACATGAAATGTCTGGGGTTTCAAGTTTCAATGGGGTAGCCATGTTAGTCTGTAACTTGAAAAACAAGAAGTGCTGCGGCTCTGTAGAGAGTAACAGAAATACACCAAATCACGAGCTTTCATAGGTAAAGCCTAATGAAGTGGACCCCTTGGATTTACAAGAACAGACAAGCTGCAGCTCAGAGGATCCCAACTGATCCCACCCAGGCCCTGCTCGTGCAGAGGGGCTCATAGGCAGGTTCCCTTAGTCTGTAACTTGAAAAACAAGAAGTGCTGCGGCTCTGTAGAGAGTAACAGAAATACACCAAATCACGAGCTTTCATAGGTAAAGCCTAATGAAGTGGACCCCTTGGATTTACAAGAACAGACAAGCTGCAGCTCAGAGGATCCCAACTGATCCCACCCAGGCCCTGCTCGTGCAGAGGGGCTCATAGGCAGGTTCCCAACATGCACTGCTCCCACGTGGCGTGGCCAGTCACCCGCCTCTGGGTCGCTCCCTGAGCCAAGGCAGCCGCAGGCTGGGCTGTGCCGGGGAGCTGCCCGGGCCGGACCCGACTCCCCAAAGCGGCCCCGCCGCAGTGAGGCTGAAGGAGGCTGCTCGGGGGCGCCACTCACTGCGGGGAGATGTCGAAGCGCACATCCCTGTCCTCCCACAGAGCGTCCAGCACAGACGTCATCACTCCCCACAGTCCTCGCCAGGGTCCGCCGAGTTCTCTCCCGCGTCTGTCCCCTGCCTTGGCAACTGCGCGACGTAGCGCCGTGAGGACCAAACTTCCCAGGCGCCACCGCCCCTGGCTCCGCCGGGCGCCACTCACTGCGGGGAGATGTCGAAGCGCACATCCCTGTCCTCCCACAGAGCGTCCAGCACAGACGTCATCACTCCCCACAGTCCTCGCCAGGGTCCGCCGAGTTCTCTCCCGCGTCTGTCCCCTGCCTTGGCAACTGCGCGACGTAGCGCCGTGAGGACCAAACTTCCCAGGCGCCACCGCCCCTGGCTCCGCCCGCAGAGCCTGGGGCGGGGCTGCACCTTCCAAACTCCCGGGGTGG